TTGGCCATGAGGGAGTCCAGCACCATACCACTATGCTCCTGCTGGCCCCATGAAACTGCATTTTAATTAATTAATTATTTTTTAAATTGATCTAACACTCGTCTTCCTGTGCTCCTAGGTTTGTACTAAACTTGTTAAAAGGGCTCAGGAAATGTGAGTGGGAGTTCTACTTCTACCTTTTCTTGACCTAGTGCTCTTTTGCACCTTTCCATTTTTTAAAAAAGGTTATTTTATTTAACTTTATTTATTTACTTATTTACTTATTTTTTAATTTGACCAGAGAAGGACAGAGTGGGAGGGGAGAGAGGGAGAGAAAGCAGGCAGCCAGGTCCAGAGTTTGAACCATGGTTGGCCGTATGGGATTCCAGCGCCCTTAGTTAACTACTACACCATCTGCTGGCCCCACATATCAATTTCTTAATCTGTAAAGTGGTATGATTACAGTATGAAACTGTGCTTAACTTTATATGGCTATTGTAGACGTTAAATTGTTCATTGAGTAAAATGCTCAGTATGATGTGTGGTTGTTAATAGATGATCACATAAAACGTAGTAGTCATTTACTAATGTTTCAGCCTTTTTAGCTAAGGAAATAGGAGTAAGGCTGATTCGCCTCTTTTTTTTTCCATTTTCGAGAGGTTTTTGCTATAGAGGTTTTTGCTATAGGGCATGTGCTCTTGCTGGAAAGAGAGAGAGACACAGAGATAGAAAGCGAGAAGTCACTCCCCAGAGGGGATGGTCACACCACAATCCCTTCTCCTCTTGGGATCTTGGGCATGCATGCATATGCGCCCGGCATTAGTTTAAGCCACCAGGTCCAGGACTCGAACCACAGTCGACTACATGGGAGTTCAGCGACATAGCCATTACGCTAACTGCTGGTCCCACGGCTGATTTGCTTTAAGCATTAGGACATCTTACTTTGCTTTTAGTTGTGTCCAGACCTTGTAATCCTATCCATGTGATGTGTTTTATTGGTAGAACTGCCTGTCTCCCTCTATGTTGTCTACAAGGTTAGCCTCATTTTAATTTGATGGTTAAAAAATGGCTGCCAGCAGGGACATATGAGTTTGGTTTCTGTGCTTCCTTTATTATCTCTAGCACCGTTGCTTTCTTTTTTTTTTCTTTCTTTTGGAGGTTTTTGCTATAGGACGCATACACTCACCAGAAAGACAGAGACCGAGACAAAGAAAGAGAGAAATCACTCCCCAGGGGGGATGGCCACCGGCAGTCCCTTCTCTTCCATTCTCCTCTCGGGATCTTGGGCATGCATGCACGCACACGTGCCTGGCATGAGTTTAAGCCACTGGGTCTGGGACTTGAACCGTGGTCGACTACATGGGAGTCCAGTGACATAGCCATTATGCCAACTGCTGGTCCTAACACCATTGCTTTCTTAAAAGGGACTATTCTTTTCCCCCTAGGTGCCAGTGACAGTCTTTCTATGACTCCAGTGGGCAGGGTTGGGTTAGGCTCATCACTTAAAATGGTATTTCTGCTGGTGTAAAAAAAATAAAAGAAACCAAAACAAAACAGGGTTGTCTCTGGGACTGAGATGGAGTGGGTGCTTGGAGGTCAACCAGCATTCTCTTTGAAACTGCATTGATTTTGTTAATTTAGGGAGGATTGACTTTAAAAAAAATTTTTTATTTTAAAAGGGGAGAGGTTTTTGCTATAGTGCACTCGCTGGAAAGACTGAGACAGAGAGACAGAAAGTTAGAAATCACCCACCTGGGGGGGATGGCTATGCCACAATCCCTTCTCCTCCATTCTCCTCTTGGGCATGCATGCGCGCACACACCCAGCATAAATTTAAGCCACTGGGTCTGGGACTCGAACCACAGTCGACTACATGGAAGTCCAACGACATAGCCATTACGCCAGTTGCTAGTCCTGGGAGGATTAATATTTTAATAATATTTATTTTATTTTTTTTCCTTTTTTTTGAGACGTTTTTGCTATAGGGTGTGTGCGCTCGCCAGACAGAGACAGAGACAGAGAGACAGAAATCGAGAAATCACCCCCCGGGGGGGGTGGCTATGCCACAATCCCTTCTCCATTCTTTTCTCAGGATCTTGGGTACGCATGCACACACGCCTGGCGTGAGTTTAAGCCACCGGGTCCAGTACTCGAACCGTGGTTGACTACGTGGGAGTCCAGCGACATAGCCATTATGCTAACTGCTGGTCCCCCAATAATATTTAATTTTTCAGTCTGGAACAGAATGTATCCTCCCACTGGTATGCCTTTCAGTACCATTTTAGTAGTGATCATATACATTAAGAACTCAGTTTATTTGTAAATATTTTATGGCTTTTGTTACTCTGTGGCACAAGGTTTTTTCAAAGAATTATTTTATTTAACTTTATTTATTTATTTAAATTTGACCAGAGAAGGACAGAGAGAGAGAAAGCAAGCCACCAGGTTCGGGACCTGAACTGCAGTCAGCCATCTAGGAGTCCAGTGCCCTTAACTACCATGCCACCTGCTGCCCCCAAACCCCTGAATACCTTTAAAATGAAATTGAAAAATTGTTTTCTTTAATTGATTCTCTGAGAGTTTATGTTTTCGAATCTGTTGAGATAATTTTTTTTTCTCTTTTAGTGCTTATGTAGCAAGCCTCATGAATTGGAATTTCTAATGTAAAAGCCATCTTTACATCCCTAAGAAGAATCCCTGTTGGTCATAGTTTATTATTCTTACAGTTGGATTCCATTATTTAATAATTTAGTAGTTTTGCATTTGTGTTGTGTGATGCTTTTTCTTGGGTTCTCCTGTAGTTTCTTTTTTTGTTAAAGAATTCTATTTTTATTTAATTTTATTTACTCATTCATTTATTTTTTAAATTTGACCAGATACACACACACACACACACACACACACACACACAGAAAGCAAGCCACCACGTCCGGGACTTGAACTCTGGTCAGCCATGTGGGAGTGTCCAGCACCTTAACCACCACGCCAACTGCTGGTCCCCCTCCTGTAGTTTTTTTTATTTACATGAGGTTATACTAGTAGAACCACTTGGGAAGCTATCTAGATACTTCTGTGTTAAATTTTTTGGCAGCCATTAGAGTCTGGAGCTTTTTCTTAATTTTTTTTTGGTGGTAGATATTTAACCTCCTTTTTAAAAAATGTAGTGCTTTTGATTTCCATACATTTTACTCCATTTTCTCTCTCTTCTTTTTAAATTGCGTGTGCCGGCCAGAGAGGTAGGAGGCACCATCCAGTGGGGATAACTGCAGTACCTTCTCCACCTCTCCATCGTATTGGGATTTGGGGCATGCACGCACTGGTGCCTGGCATGTTTTCCAAAATGGTAGGACCAGGATTTGGACTTCAGTGGCCATGTGGGATCTAGCTTTCTTAACCACTAGGCCACAGGATTGGCTTTCTACTCGTTCTGAGCTACTTTTTATGCTTATATATTTTTTCTAGCTAATCTTCTGTTTAGTGTTTTTAATTTTTTTTTTTTTTGGAGAGGTTTTTGCTGTAGGGCGCTTGCGCTTGCCAGAGAGACAGAGAGAGACAGAGAGACAGAAAGTGAGAAATCACGCTCCATGGGGATGGCCACGCTGCAGTCCCATTTCCTCCTCTAGGGATCATGTGCTCGCACGCACACAAGCCCGGCGTGAGTTTAAGCCACTGGGTCCAGGACTCGAACCGCGGTCGACTACATGGGAGTCCAGCGACGTAGCCATTATGCTAATTGCTGGTCCCAAGTCTCCTTCTTCAGTCTCCCAGCTAGCCAGTACATACACAGAACTACATGCCTGGTGTATTCAGATTGGCCCAGAAACTAAGCCTGGACCTGGGCCCTTTGTTTGGCTTCCAGCTTCCCAGGAAGATCTGCTACCTGTGTGCTATCACAGTAGGGCCCTGGTTTATATATTTGTTTAAAGAACAGCTAGTGTCCATTTCAGTGACCATTTTATTTTATTTTATTTTATCTTTTTAAGAGAGGTTTTTGCTATAGGGTGTGCGTGCTCGCCAGAGAGACAGAGAGACAGAAAGCTAGAAAATGCAGCAATCCCTTCTCCATTCTCCTCTTGGGATCTTGGGCACGTATATATACGTGCCTTGCATGAATTTAAGCTACCGGGTCCAGGACTTGAACCACAGTCTACTACATGAGAGTCCAGCGACGTAGCCATTATGCAATCTGCTGATCCCTTCATTCGTTTTATTAATCTGTCCTGCTGAGGCTTTGTTCACACTGATGGTGTTTTTCTAGTTTCATTTACATCTCATTTTTATCTTTAGTTATTTGTATCTGTGAAGTTTATGTTGATCCAATCTATTCAAGTAATTTTTTGGGAATGATTCTATTTTAGGGGGAACATATTAACTCTTTAGTCTGTAGACATCTTTTATTTTATTTATTTATTTTAACTTTTTTTTTTTTTAAGAATTATTTTTATTTAACTTTGTTTTAATTTGACCAGAGAGTGACAAAGTGAGGGGGAAGGAGGAAGCAAGCCGCCAAGTCTAGGACTCGAACTGCAGTTAGCCATGTGGAAGTTCAGTGCCCTGAACCACCGCATCACTTGCCGGCCCCAACACCTTTTAATTTTAAGATCAGGTTTAGAAAGAAATTGACCACTGGAGCTTGTGTTATGAAGGGCTGAGAATTTCTTCTATCTCTAGTTGAGTTGTCAGCATTTCATCTTTCAGCTTATAAGGATGACAACGTTCATTTTTAATCTTTGTTTTTCAGACTTGAGACTTAACAGTAGTCATTTTGTTATATTCTTAGTATTTCATAGTGCAGTTTGTGATTATCTGAATTGAAAGGTTTGATTGGCTCAATACTTTGATATTTTTCTTTTGGATTTTTCTTAGTCTTTTTTTTTTAAAGCTGTACTTCCGAGTCAGATAGAATCATACTTCTTACATCCTTTGGGAACCCTAAGGTATGAAGTAAGTTGCTGATAGGATAAGTATAAATTGAAATTTTAGAAAAAAGCTGTTCTGACTTCTGTTTCTTCCCCCTTTAGTTTTTCCATGGTTTGGCTTGGATATTGGTGGAACCCTGGTCAAGCTAGTTTACTTTGAGCCCAAAGACATCACTGCTGAAGAAGAAGAAGAAGAAGTGGAAAGTCTTAAAAGCATCCGGAAGTATCTGACCTCCAATGTGGCTTATGGGTCCACGGGCATTCGGGACGTACACCTCGAGCTGAAGGACCTGACTCTGTGTGGACGCAAAGGCAATCTGCACTTTATACGCTTTCCCACTCATGACATGCCTGCTTTTATTCAAATGGGCAGAGATAAAAACTTCTCGAGTCTCCACACTGTCTTTTGTGCCACTGGAGGTGGAGCGTACAAATTTGAGCAGGATTTTCTCACAGTATGCATTTTTTAGCTTATATACAATTTATGGTAATTTGATTGTTAAAAATAATACCCATAGCAAGTGTGGAATCCTTTCCATCTCTAATGGAACTTGAATTTTCTTGAGTTAAATGAAGTATAAAGTAGTAATAGTCAGGAGTTTGCCAACCAGAGATTGTTTTTTTTGAGAGTTTTTTTTCCTTTGCTGTAGGGTGCGTGCGCTCATCAGAAAGACAGAGAGACAGAGAGATAGAAAGCGAGAAATCAGCCCCTGGGGGCATGGCCATGCCACAGTCCCTTCTCCTCTGGGGATCTTGGGCACACACACGCACCTGGCGTGAATTTAAGCCACCAGGTCCAGGACTCAAACTGCGGTCGGCTACATGGGAGTTCAGCGACATAGCCATTACGCCAACTGCTGGTCCTCCAACCAGAGATTGTTGAATGGTGTATTTTTTGTGCAGTTCATATGCATTGATGAAAATCCAGAACTACTAAAAAGCATGGCATTTTTATTGTTCCTTTAGTATGGAAAAATTACTGAATCTGTGATAAATAGAGTAAGGAACAACCTATGAGAAACAACATTTAATCTTAAATGAAAGTTGAAAAAAAATTTTAAATTATTTATGTCATAAAATTTTTTCAAATTTTACCTACCACTAAATTTCTCGTTTTCTGGCATGTTGACTAATTCAAAAAAATAAGTGGCATTTTCAGGTCTCAGAGCTAGTCTGAGATGGTTGACACCAGAATCCTGCCCCTGAACACCTGTGGTGTGTTCTTTCTACACCTGTTAACAGGAATCTCTCAACCACTTCTGGCTCCTGGGGGGTGTGCCACAGGCACTTGATTTTGCTTTCATTCAGTGAATTCTGTGAGTAAGGCCTCCAGGCTGTGTTCTTTAGGGTGACTCTGGGGGTAGGTGGGAGAATTGACAGGTCATCAATTGGCTGAGACCTTGACCTTCATGGTGTAATACAGATTTAGAATGTCTTCGGTAACCATGTTTTTTATGCCACCAAATGAAATTCTTAGTTAAAAAGAGATTTTTTTTTTTTTTTTTAATTTTAAAGAGAAACAGATAGGCGGGTATTTTGCCATGGTCCACCCTATTTTCAGCTGGCAGGTATCATGGGCACGCTCTGCCTAGCATGCACAAAGTCTTTGGGTGTGAACCTGGAACCTTTCCCATGGGTCAGCCTCACAGAACATTGCATTACTACTGCAGCACTGGCCAGCCCCATTCCAAAGGAGATTCTGCCTTCCTTAGCTGTTATTTTTATCTCCACCCCCTTGTCCTTGTATAGCTTGTGACCTTGTCATCTTTGTCCTCTGTCTCCTGACTTCTGTCTATAATTGGCCGTACTAATCATGACAGAATTGACATGTATCATACCTTACATTCTTTGCTTGAATTTTTCTTGGTTGTTGGTTTTCAGTGAGTCCTTTACCACTTATAATGAGGAGGTACCAGGAGGGGAGACGTTTCCCTTTTTACGGAAGCTTCATGGTGGCCTCTGGATCATAACTGATAGGTAGAGGAGAAAACCTCGATTTCTGGGACCCTGGAGAGGTGCTTTTTGGACCATATTTGCAAACAGTCCAGGCTGTTAACAGAGGTTCATTGTTATGTAGTTATCCAAGGAGAGGTGCAAAGTGGATTTTTTCCTTAGGAATTAGTTCTTAAGCTATTCGGGCTTCTCATTTGTGTGAGCTAGTGCTACCCTAAAATATTATGTGAAAGTTGGGACTGGCAGGTAGTGTGGTGGTTAACGTGGCTGGACTCCCACATGGCTGACCATGGTTCAAGTCCCGGATCTGGCAGCTTTCTTTCTCACTTTCCTTCTCTCTCTGGTCAACTTCAAAAAAATAAAATAATGACAATTAATAGAATTAAATAAAATAACTTTTAAAAAAGTAAATTATGTGGGAACCAGCAGTTGGCGTAATGGCTATGTTGCTGGACTCCCATGTAGTCGACTGCGGTTCGAGTCCTGGACCCGGTGGCTTAGAACTCACGCTGGGTGCATGTGCGTGCGTGCCCGAGATCCCGAGAGGAGAATGGAGGAGAAGGGATTGCGGCGTGACCATCCCCCCTTGGGGGTGATTTCTCGCTTTCTGTCTCTCTGTCTCTCTCTGTCTGTCTGGCGAGCGCATGCGTCCTATAGCGAAAACCTCTCAAAAAAAAAAATTATGTGAAAGTAAAATGCCTCTCAAGTTCTGTTTGTGCATTAGGAGTGAATAATATTTAATGAAACAGTAAGATACATATATATATATTTAGATTTTTTACCATAGAGTGCGTGAACTTGCTGGTGAGACAGAGAGAGGGAATATGAGAAATCACCCCCTGGGAGGAAGGCCAGGCTGTAATCCCCTCTTCTCCATTCTCTTTAAATCACCCTCTGGGGGGAAGGCCAGGCTGCAATCCCCTCTCCTCCATTCTCTTTTCAAGATTTGGGCATACACACACACACACACACACACACACACACACACACGCCTGGTGTGTTTTTCACATCAGGTTCGGGACTCAGACTGTGGCCTCCAGAGTGAGAATTTTTTTTTGTTATTGTTGTTGAGATTATTGCTAATGGTACATGTGCTTGTCAGAGAGACAGAAAGCAAGAAATCACCCCCCAGGGGTGATGGCCACACCGCAGTCCCTTCTCCATTCTCTTTTGTGGGCATGCATGCACATGCACCTGGTGTGAGTTTTAAGCCTCTGGATCTGAGATTTGAACCACTGATGGCCATGTGGGAGTTCAGTGATGTAACCATTACACCATCCACTGGTCCCAAAATATGTATTTTTTTAATATTGAGTTTAACTTGTCAATTAAAAAAAAAGATACATTTATTTTAAATTTTATTTGTTATTATTATTACTCAATTTTGACCAGAGAGAGAGAGGCAGAGAGAAAGGGAGAATGAGAAGGCAAGCCGCCAGGTTCGGGACTTGGACCATGGTCGGCCATGTGGAGTCCAGTGTCCCAACCACCATACCACCTCCTGGCCCTTACCCCGTTTTCTTTTAAAACAGGAATTAAGATTCTCCTGTTCTGAATTTGCTTGTTGGTCTGTGCCTACATTCTGAATAACTTGTGTTAGTAAAATTACCTATGAATCCAATTATTTAAACATATCAGTTCATCTGGATTCATCAGACATAATAACACAGCAGGACATTTTAGGATAATATGAATTATTGAAAGGATAAAAGGGGAAACTGCTTTGACATATAATGTCAGAAAACTACTTGGATTCCAGTAGACCAGCAGTGTAGAATGATTTGGCTTGGAAATGAAAATGCTGGCAATTTGAGATGGCAAGTGTTAGGAAGTAGCTTGACAGCTTGGATTATCTTGGCATGAGGGTGTGGCCAGATGAAGTAAAGAGAGCATGAATACCTATGGATTTGTTTTCAGAGGAGTAACTTAATATCCTTAATTAGGAATTAATTTAATTAAGGATTAAGATAAAGTTACCTATCAACTTCTCCATCTCCTCCAGTGGATCAGAATAAGTTGAGTGTAAATGTAATCAAATGGGAATTGAATTAAAAGGGAAGAATTTGTAGAGCTAAATTAGACTATAAATAGAAACAGGTGTTTTAGGGGGTTGAGACATCTTTACGTTGTCATTTGTAGTGAGTATATATGCTTGTAAACATTCAAACAGGTTGGGAGTTAATGGAGTCTTTTTTTTTGAGAGGTTTTTCGCTATAGGGTGCGTGCGCTTGCCAGACAGACAGAGAGAGACAGAGAGACAGAAAGTGAGAAATCACCCCCCAGGGGGGATGGTCACGCCGCAATCCCTTCTCCTCCATTTTCCTCTCGGAATCTTGGGCATGCATGCACATGCGCTCGGCGTGAGTTTTAAGCCACCGGGTCCGGGATATGAACTGCGGTCGACTACGTGGGAGTCCAGCGACATAGCCATTACGCTAACTGCTGGTTCCCAATGGAGTCTTGATGTAGAAGTCTGTATCATGTCTCTGAAGTCATCACTGTTAAAAGGTCATGTATAAGGGTCAGTAGGTAGTGTGGTTAAGGTGCTGGGTTCCCACGTGGATGAGCGCAGTTTGAGCCTCGGACCTCGTGGATTGAAAATCATGCCGGGCCTATGTGCATGTGTGCCCAAAAATCACAGGAGGAGAATGGAGAACAAGGGATTGTGACATGACCATCACTCCTAGGGGGTGATTTCTCACTTTTCCTCTGTCTGTCTTGCGAGTGCACACACCCTATGGCAAAAACCTAGCATAAATATAAAGTCGTGTGTGTATTGTCCGATTTTCTGTGTGTGGCTGTAGAAGACGTACATGTGCATATACACATAGTTTTATTGATTGATTGATTCAGAGGTTTTTGCTGTAGAGTACGTGTGCTCACCAGAAGGACAGAGACAGAAAGCGAGACATCACCCCCCAGAGGCTACACCACAGTCCCTTCTCCTCCATTCTCCTCTCGGGATCTTGGACACGTGCGCGGTGTGTGGTTAAGCCACTGGGTCTGGGACTTGAACCGCAGTCTACTACATGGGAGTCCAGCGACATAGCCATTACGCCATCTGCTGGTCCCAAACATAGTTTTAAATAGGTAAATTGGGGGCCATTTGGTGACATGGTGGTTAAGGCAGCCAGATCCCACATGCCTCATTGTGAGGTTTGAGTCCTGGACCTAGTGCTTGAAAAATACACCAGGGACTTGTGCTTGTGTGCCCAGAAACCCAAGAGGAGATGGAGGAGAGGGGTTAAAGGGTTTGTAGCATAGTCATTTCTTCTGGTCTGTGATTCCTCTCTCCTCTCCCCTTACCCTCATCCTCCCTCCTTCTCTCTGGTGAGCACATATGCCCTATAACAAAACTACAAAGTATATGGGAACCAGCAGTTAGCGTAATGGCTATGTCGCTGGACTCCCACGTAGTCGACCGCGGTTCGTGTCCCGGACCCAGTGGCTTAAAACTCATGCCGGGCGCGTGTGCGTGTGTGCCCAAGATCCCAAGAGGAGAATGGAGGAGAAGGGATTGCGGCGTGACCATCCCCCCTGGGGGGTGATTTTTCACTTTCTGTCTCTCTGTCTCTCTCTGTCTGTCTGGTGAGCGCATGTGCCCTATAGCGAAAAAAACCTCTCCAAAAAAAAAAAAAACTACAAAGTATATGTATGATTATATTTCTTTATTTTTAGTTATACAGTGTTCCATAATTTGAATAATAATTGTTTTATTAATGCTTAAAATAGAATTAAGTTAATAAAAAGTTTAAATTTTGACACTGTTAACTTCCCTCACCTCTACTACTATACCCAGCAGGCTGTAACCAACTTAAATAGTGAAAAATCTTACTTTCTAACTGAAGATTTCCAAGCTTTTGGCTTCCGGTTGTTAAATAAAAAAGCATGGCCTCTTTTGATGCTGTTCCATAGACTTGAAGATGGTCTTTTTAGGAGGCAGATGTCGAGTCTTTGTGGGTCCTGCCATATGTCACCAGGTGCTTTCTGGCAGGGCTGTGGCCTTAGCTGTGCACCTGCCTCGTTGTTCCTGTGAGTAGAGATCATGTCTGCCTGACAGGTTGATACACGCTCTTATGGTTTTGGCACACTTGTGCAGTTTCTGTAGTGGTTTGTGAATAGAGTGCATTTGGGTCTATGGAGTAGGGTCTGTCTTAGCAGTCCATCCCAGTGTTCATTGGTCCCAAATCTGTTCTGTGAAGCATGCACAAATAATACACACCCATGATCACGCTTTTATGATTTGTTCATTGTGGAGGGGGTGTTTACTAAATAGAATTTTACTTCTGTTAACTTGTTAAAAAGTCTGAATATATTCTTATTTCATTACAGATAGGTGATCTTCAGCTTTGCAAACTGGATGAACTAGATTGCTTAATCAAAGGAATTTTATACATTGACTCAGTTGGATTCAATGGGCGGTCACAGTGCTATTATTTTGAAAATCCTGCTGATTCTGAAAAATGTCAGAAGTTGCCATTTGATTTGAAAAATCCATACCCTCTGCTTCTGGTGAACATTGGCTCGGGGGTTAGTATCTTAGCAGTATATTCCAAAGATAATTACAAGCGAGTCACAGGTACCAGGTAAGTCTTTTATATAAAAGTCCTTTTTTTTTTTTTTAAGTTTGTTTATTTCTAAGTGAAAGAGAGGTGGAAGGAAGAAAAAAGAGAGGGAGAGGCAGACAGGCATTCATGACAGGGTCTTCACACCATGATGTACCCATAAGCCTTCACCCTGCAGCCAGTTAGGACTGTGGCCTCGCCTGGCATGTTGAGATAGACCCAGGACGACCCTAGAATCTTCTCATATGGTCTTTAGCGTTGTACAGTAGCACCCATACTGTCTGGACCATTGTGACTGGGCTTGCGTTTTTTTTTTTTTTGGAGAGATTTTTGCTGTAGGGTGCAAGTGCTCTCTGGAGAAACAGAGAGACAGGGATAGAAAGCAAAAAGTCACTCTCCGGGGGGATGGCCACATTACAATTCCTTCTCCTCCATTCTCTTCTTGGAATCTTGGGCACACACACACACAGTTGCGCCTGGTGTGAGTTTTAAGTCATGTCAGGACTTGAACCGCAGTTGACTATGTGAGAGTCCAGTGGCGTAGCCATTATGCCATCTGCTGGTCTCTGGGCCTGTTTATTCCTAATTATAAGTTAACTGTGTTTTCAGATATTGTATATTGCTGCTCTTTCAAGAACTTGTTAAAATTACATGAAAGTGGGTCCAGCAGATGGCGTGGTAGTTAAAGGCACTAGATTCCCACGTGGTTGACTGCGGTTTGAGTTCCGGACCTGGTGGCTTGCTTTTTCACTTCCTCACTTTTCCTGTCCCGCTCTAGTCAAATTAAAATAAATAAATAAATAAAGTTAAAATAATTCTTAAAAAAAAAAAAGGAATGGTTTTAAAAATAATTATATGAAAGGTGTACGTTTCTCTGGGATAATGCAGAAGTTTTCTATTTGAAAATTATGATTTCGTGATCTGCTTTTCTTTAATCTCTGTTGCTCCAGATTTTATTACCATAGTTGTTTCATAAAACACTACATCAGCCAACTCACTGAACTCATAGTCCTTACTGTGGTATTGTTGATGGTGTGCATATACAGAGCAGCTCAGCTTACTAGGTAGCATTTGTAAGGAGAAGGTTCCAGCTTTGAAACCTGTATTAATTTTTTTTTAAAGAATTATTTAATTTTTTTATTCATTCATTTATTTTAATTTGACCAGAGAGAGACAGAGAGGGAAAGTGAGAAAGCAAGCCACCCGGTTCAGGACTTGAACCATAATCAACCATGTGGGAGTGAGTGGTGTCTTAACCTCTATGCCCCCTGCTGGCCTCCAAAACTTATATTAATTTTACACATACACTTATGACCAGGGCTGGTTTGAGATCTAGGAGCTGAAGTACTGTGTTGTGGTGGTTAAGGCAGCTGGATTCCACATGGCCTATTGCATGGTTCAAGTCCTGTACCCCATGGCTTGTAAAACATGCTGTGTGTTTGTGTATGTGCACATACAAAATTCTGAGAGGAGAAGGGGTTGAGATGTGGCCACCCCTCCCGCCCCAGGAGTGCTTTCTCTCCCTCCTTCCCTCCCTCTCTTGTGTCTCTACCTGGTGAGTGCACATCCCCTGTAGCATGCACACATGCGTGCATAAATAGGTAGGTAGGTAGGTAGGTAGATAGATAGTTAGATAGTTAGATAAATAGTTAAAAAAAGTGATTGAGTAGTCTGAAAGAGATGTAAGGAGAGAACACCTATGTTTCGTTTAAGGATCAGAATTCCCTTTAGGAAAAACAAGGATCCAGGGGTTAGGATATACAGATTTTAAACAAGTGTGTAAAGAATGAGATAATTTTGCAGGAGAAGACACATTAATGGAGGGGTCTGGTAGGATGGGGCCAGTGAACCAGGGTGACAAAGGTTCTCGGATGAGAATGTAAACTTGGAGAGGGAAGGGAAGGCAGTCCCAGCCTGATGCCAGGTGTGTTGGACTGATTTGTACCTGAGGCCCCTCTTACCCAGACTTCCCTTGGGAGGCAGAGAGGCAGGCCTTGCATTTTGCCACTTTGCTTGTTCACTTACATGAATAGATATGTCTCCAAGGTGGATGTCAGGCACCTTGGCTTTGTTTTTTTGCAGACTTGTTTCCTACTGGTGGCAGCTGTGTGAGTAGGTTTAGGCAAGAGTGGGTTGATAAATGAATGTGACTTTGGGTCCACAAACGTAACCTTCCTATTCCTACTTTTAAAAATTGTTGTTTTTAATCACAGTCTTGGAGGAGGAACTTTTTTTGGTCTCTTAGATAGATAGTTAGATAGTTAGATAAATAGTTAAAAAAAGTGATTGAGTAGTCTGAAAGAGATGTAAGGAGAGAACACCTATGTTTCGTTTAAGGATCAGAATTCCCTTTAGGAAAAACAAGGATCCAGGGGTTAGGATATACAGATTTTAAACAAGTGTGTAAAGAATGAGATAATTTTGCAGGAGAAGACACATTAATGGAGGGGTCTGGTAGGATGGGGCCAGTGAACCAGGGTGACAAAGGTTCTCGGATGAGAATGTAAACTTGGAGAGGGAAGGGAAGGCAGTCCCAGCCTGATGCCAGGTGTGTTGGACTGATTTGTACCTGAGGCCCCTCTTACCCAGACTTCCCTTGGGAGGCAGAGAGGCAGGCCTTGCATTTTGCCACTTTGCTTGTTCACTTACATGAATAGATATGTCTCCAAGGTGGATGTCAGGCACCTTGGCTTTGTTTTTTTGCAGACTTGTTTCCTACTGGTGGCAGCTGTGTGAGTAGGTTTAGGCAAGAGTGGGTTGATAAATGAATGTGACTTTGGGTCCACAAACGTAACCTTCCTATTCCTACTTTTAAAAATTGTTGTTTTTAATCACAGTCTTGGAGGAGGAACTTTTTTTGGTCTCTGCTGTCTTCTCACTGGCTGCAGCACTTTTGAAGAAGCTCTTGAAATGGCATCTCGTGGAGATAGTACTAAAGTGGATAAACTAGTGCGGGACATTTATGGAGGGGACTATGAGAGGTTTGGACTACCAGGCTGGGCTGTGGCTTCGAGGTAAGGACATGTGTGTTTTAAGAAATATAGGAAAAAATATCAAATATCAGGCATATCTTTTTTTTTTTCTTTTAAAGAGCTTTATTAAGATATAACTTATGTACTATCAAGCCACCTCTTTAAAGTGTACAATTTAGTGGTTTCTGGTATATTTATAGAGTGTGCAACTATCACCATAACTCAATTTCAGAACATTTTCATCCTTCTAGGAAGAAATCTACTAGCTACCGGTCCCCATCCTCCCTCTGCCCTATCCCTAGCTCCTGCCAAACACCTGCTACTTTCTAAGTCTATGGGCTTGCCCATTCTGAACATGTATCGGTGGTATAGACAGGATGAGGTCTTCTGTGACTGGATTCTTTTACTTAGCATGGTGTTGTAAGGTTAATCCACGTTGCAGCACAAATCGGTCCTTTACACCTTGTCACTGCCAAACAATACTAAATTTCTTGTATGGATATGCCACATTTTACCTATCCATTATCAGTTGGTGGGTATTTGAGTTGGTTCCACATTTTGGTTATCCTAAATACTGAGCATCTGTGTTTAAGTCTGGGTGGGCATGTATTTTTAATTCTCTTGGTTATATGCCTAGATGTGGAAAATTGCTAGACTGTGATTTTTGTCATAGGGCAGGTATACTCACCAGAGAGAGGGAAAAAGTGAGAAATCGAAGGTGGCCGTATTGCAGTCCCTTCTCCATTTTCCTCTTGGGATTTTGGGCATACATAAACACATGCCCTTGGGTCCAGGACTCAACTGCAGAGTTGGCCATGTGGGATCCAGTGCCTTAACCACCACACCACCTGCTGACCCTACGGCTGTATCATTTCATAATTTCAACAGTTTATGAGTTTAAATTTCTCCACATCCTGTCCAACACTTGTTATTGTCTCTTTTTGGTTTTAGCTATCTTAATAGACGTGAAATGATGCCTTATTGTGGTTTTCATTTGACTTTCCCTGATGGCTAATGATGAATATCTTTTAATGTGCCTCTTGGCCATTTGTCTAGCATCTTTAGAAAAATGTCTCTTCAAGTTTTTTGGTTATTTTTTAGTAGGATTATCTATTATTGAGTTAAAAGAGTTCATTATGTTTTCTGGATACAAATCCCTTATTACATACATAGTTTGCAAATATTTTCTCCCTTTTTTTGGTAAAGGTTTTTGCCTTAAGGGCACATGCGCTCTGGAACGAAAGAGACAGTGAGAAGGAAAGTGAGAAATCACCCCCACAGTGGAGGGGTGGTGGCACTGGCCACACCACACTCTCTTTTCCATTCTCCTCCCTTGGATCTTGGGCACATACACATATGTGCCCAGCCTGAGTTTGAAGCCACCGGGTTGGGGACTCGAACCATGACTGGCTTTGTGGGAGTCCAGCAATGTTAATCGCTACGCCATCTTCTGGCCCCTTTTCTTCCATATTTTTGAGTTATTTTTTCACTTTCTTGATGGTATCTTTTGCAGCATAGAAGTTTCTATTTTGATGAAGTTCATCTTTACCTTCTCTTTTATCACTTAGAAGTTACCTAATTTCACATCATGGAAATTTACTTTTCTATTTTCTTATAAGAGTTTTATACTTTCAGCTCTTATATCTAGGTCAATGCTCTTTTTGTTTTTAAAAAATAATTTTTTTTAAACTTTCTTTCTTCCTTTCTTATTTAATTTGACTAGAGAGTGACAGGGAGGGGGTGCTGAGAAAGCAAGCCACCAGGTCCAGGACTCGGACCACAGTTGGCCATGTGGGAATCCAGTGCCCTTAACCACCACGCCACCTGCCAGTCCCTATGCTATTTTTTTAAATGTTTATTTTATTTCATTTGTTGTTGTTATTTTTTAATTCACCAGAGAGAGACAGAAAGAGAGAGGAAACAGGACTTGAACTGCAGTCAGCCATGTGGGAGTCCAGTGCTTTAACCACCTTGCAACTTGCTGGCCCCAGGTCTATGCTATTTTAAGTAAATTTTTGTGTATGGTGTGAGATAGAGGTACAGATATATTTTGCATGTCTAGTTCTTGATGGTAGATGTTTGAGTTTATTTCTGGACTTTGAGTTGTATCTCATTGATTTGTGTATCTATCTATATACCAGTACCATACTGACTTGGTTTCTGTAACTGCATATTAAGTTTTTTTTTTTTTTTTTTTGGAGAGATTTTCACTGTAGGGCGCGTGCGCTCGCCAGACAGACAGAGAGAGACATAGAGACAGAAAGCGAGAAATCACCCCCCAGGGGGGATGGTCACGCCGCAATCCCTTCTCCTCCATTCTCCTCTCGGGATCTTGGGCACGCACGCACACGCGCCCGGTGTGAGTTTTAAGCCACTGGGTCCGGGACGTGAACCGCGGTCGACTACGTGGGAGTCCAGCGACATAGCCATTACGCTAACTGCTGGTTCCCACTGCATATTAAGTTTTAAAAAGTTTCTTTTTAGGGGCTGGCAGGTGGCATGGTGGTTAAGGCATTGGACTCCCATATGACCAACCATAGTTGAGTCCCGGACCTGGTGGCTAGCTTTTTCCACTTCCCTTTCTCTCACTCTTTCTCTTTCTGGTCAAATTAAAAAATAATAATAAAGTTTAATAGACAAATATTAAAAAAAATTAAGTTTATTCCATGAAAAAGAGAGAGAGATACAGCATCCTTGACAGTGTAATCCTGACAGTCTACCCCTAGCTTCAGGCTGGATTATAGGTAGAGGGGCACCCAGTACATCCAGGAAGGTTTCTGGAGGTAAACCTGGAACCTTCCCATGTGGGTCTGCATTGTAGAGCATCATGTTTTTTTTGAAGAGGTTTTTGCTATAAGGGCGCGTGTGCTCGCCAGACAGAGAGACAGAGAGACAGAAAGCGAGAAATCACCCCCCAGGGGGGATGGCCATGCCGCAATCCCTTCTCCTCCATTCTCCTCTCGGGATCTTGGGCATGCACACACACGCGCCCGGCATGAGTTTAAGCCACTGGGTCCGGGACGCGAACCGCGGTCGACTACGTGGGAGTCCAGCGACATAGCCATCACGCTAACTGCTGGTCCCTGTAGAGCATCATGTTTTATTACCGTGCCACCATCTGGCCCTATGTTAAGTTTTGAAATTAGAAACTGAGAGTTTTCTAGCATGTTCCTTTTCAGGATTGTTTTGGCTATTGAGGCCCTTAGAACTTCCATCCAAATTTTCTTTTCTTTTCTTTTTTTTTGAGTTATTTTTGTTATAGGGCCTCTGTGGTTTCTGGAAAGATGGAGAGACAGAAAGTGGGAAATCATCCCCTGTGGGGGATGGCCACACTGTGATCCATTTTCCTCCCTGGATCTTGGGCATGTGCACACGCACACCCAGCATGAGTTTCAGGCTGCTGGGTCCAGGACTTGAACTGCACTTGGCCATGTGGGAGTAGCGATGTAACCACTATGCCATCCGCTGGTCCGTGCATCTGAATTTTAGGAAAAGTTTGGCAATGTCTGCTAAAAGAGTGGGTTTGATGGGGATTGCATTGGAAATCGTTTTTTTAAATAACTATTTTATTTAGCATTATTATTATTATATTATTTAGTTTGACAAGAGAAAGACGGGGTGTGGGGAGAAAAAGCAAGCCGACAGGTCTGGGACTCAAACTGTGGTCAGTCATGTGAGAGTCCAGCACCTTTAACCACCATACCGCTTGCCGGCTACATCATTGGAAATCTTACAGCCAACTAGGGGTTTATTCCAATACTAATCCTGTCAGTTCTTCTGATCTAAGACAGAATGTTTTTCCATTTATTGAAATGTATGTTTTCTTTGAACAGTAGCTTGTAGATTTGAGTGTACAAGTGTTACTACTATTTTTTAAATAATTATTTAAGTTTATTTATTTATTCATTTATATTTAATTTGACCTGAGAGAGACACACAGAGAGAGAGAGAGAAAGTGAGAACACAAGCCACCAGGTCCAGGACTTGAACCGTGGTTGGCCACGTGGGAATATCCAGCGCCTTAACTATTATGCCACCTGCTGGTCCCAAGTGTTACTACTACTTCAGCTGAAGACATTCCCAAACATTTTCTTTGATGCTATTATAAATGGAATTCTTTTCTTTCTCCTTTTTTTGTTAAGGTCTTTGCCATAAGGTGTGTGTATTTGCTGGAGAGAAAGAGGGGGAAAATGAGAAATCACTCCCCACGGGGAATGGCCATGCCACAATCCCTTCTCCATTCTTCTCCTGGGATTTTGGGCATGCATGCACATGTGTCCAGTGTGGTTTTCAAGTCACCATGTCCGAGAGTCGAAACTGTGGTCAGCCATGTGGAAGTCCAGCGCCTTAATCACTGTGCCACCTGCTGGGCCCTGGAATTCTTTTCTTATTTTATCTTGAGATTGTTTAAAATTTTGTTTGTCTGTTGGAGTACTTTTTTTTTTTAAAGAGAGATTTTTGCAATAGGGCACGCATGCTCACTAGGAAAAGTGAGAAATCTCCTCCCAGAGGGGATGGCCACACCGCACTCCCTTCTCCTTTCTCTTCACTGGATTTTGGCATTTATGCACTTGCAGCCAGCCAGTATGAGTTTCTAGCTCCTGGGTCTGGGACTCGAACTGTGGTTGACCACATGGGAGTCCAGCACCTTAACCACTATGCCTCCTGCTAGCCTTGTAGCACATGTTTTTTTAACAATAGAAAAGGCACTCACACACACAAACACGTGTATATATGTGTGTGTGTGTGTGCTTATTTACAAATTTTAGACACAATTCTATAGACTTCATTTTCTATGTTTGCAGCATTTGATCATTGGTCACTACTTACTTTTCTGATTGGCTGGGCTTGTATTTTGGTCACAGCACTTTTGTAGCACTTTTGCTGGTCAAATACTTTGAAGTACTTCGTCTTTTAGGGAAATCTAAAATTCTTGTATTATACCTCACTTTGGGACACAGCCGTTTGAGTCTTATTTTGCTCTGATAGAGCAGTTTACCAAATGGGTGGAACAGCTGTGCGGTTGGGACACATTGCTGATCCTGGTCTTTCTGGAACTGTCCTGGTTGTTGAAGGAGCAGTGGTATCTTCCAGTGGATCTGATGAGAACCTGGTATCAGAGCTTGAGTTCAGTAGAAACCACAGCCTGCTCTTTCAGAACACAGGGTATGGGGGTGCGTATTTAAAGCTGTATTTCTCTTTTTATTATGTAAATGAAAGGTTTGAAGTTTTTTTTGTTGTTGTTGTTGTTTTTTTTTTGAGGAGAGGTTTTTGCTATAGGGCATGTGTGCTTGCCAGAAAGACAGAGAGACAAAAAGTGGGAAATAACCTCCCAGTGGGATGGCCACACCACAGTCACTTCTCCATTTTCCTCTCAGGATCTTGGGTACGCGTGCACATACACCCGGTGTGAGTTTAAACCACTGGGTCTGGGACTTGACCGTGGTCAACTACATGGGAGTCCAACGACATAGCCATTATGCCATCTGCTGGCCCCAAAAGTTTGAAGATTTGAACAGTGTCCTGAAAGACGATTTTATCTTACAGTAGCATTCACATTCTTCTGGACTGTGTTGCATTTAGCAATGGGATTTTTTTTCCTCCTCATCACAGCTTTGGAAACATGATGAGTAAGGAGAAGCGAGAGGCTGTCAGTAAAGAGGACCTCGCCAGAGCGACTTTGATCACCATCACCAACAACATTGGCTCAATAGCAAGAATGTGTGCCCTTAATGAAGTAAGGGGTCATGAGGTTTCTTTTGTTGCTGTGAAGAAAACAATCGAACATATTAAATGGGCTCCACCTTGATGTTAAAGGGAGTCTGTCTTCTCAGAACAGTGCCTAAGTGTAGTTGAATAGGGGGGAATTTATTTCAGTGCAGAGTTAAAACTCTTCAAATGCAGATAAATCTTCATCCCCCCCCCCCCTTTATTGGAGATAAACACTACTGTCTAGAGGCAAAATGATGTCTTTTGAGGAGAAAGTAGAGAAAAGTAGGAAGGTCGCCAGTGTTCCAAATGCTGGGGACTGTCGAGGTGAGGTGGTGATGGGTAACGATGTTGAATTTCGACACCATGCGCATTGTTGAGCCCTAGAGGCCTTGGGAAGGAATCCAGAGGAAGTCACTGAAGCTGGGAGAAGACTGAGCAGGCAGAGGAATGCCCACCCTGGCTCCCTTCCGCCTCAGCAGAGCTGCGTCTTCGTGCTTTCAGCTTCTTTACAGTGCTGCCTTGTAGCATTCGGGTCAAGCAGCATTGTACAGGGCTATGAAAGAACCAAGAATGGGCTGCCCCTGGGGAAAGAGGAGCTAGGATCCACTTGGTCTAGCTTTATGGTTTGTCCCTATGTATACATTTTTGTTTAAATCATTCTTCACATAGTTAATATAGGCATGAGGCCTAAAAGGAATCCTCCAAAGGCACCAAAGTAGTTGTCTTATTTTTAATTAAAAAGATAGCTTATCAGCACCAAATAATTTTAAAAATTCATTGAAATATCATAATATCACTTTTTTCTTTTTTGTATGTTCCCTTTATTGTGTTTATGCATTTTAAGGTATTTTAGTTGGTGTACATACCATTTAAATTTTCCTTAAATAGTAAACATTTCATGGCTATGAATTTGATCAAGTTCATATTATAAAGCATTCACATAGTGCTGGATATTTGGTTGCTTGCTGATACTTTGAGGTTAGCATTTTTAAGTGGGAAGCTGTTCTTTGGTTGAATTTTTTCCTTGATGGGGGCTTAATCAGGAGTGAGATTTATGGTCTACACAATATGACCCCACTTAGGAATACTAATACTGATTGCCATGGTGCTTTGCACAAGGGCTTACCAGTTTAGATGACCTTTAGCGAAGAATGAATGGATCAATTCTACTGCAGTTCTACTAATGTTGGGGTGGAACTTCAGTTGGATTTTTTTTTTCCCTTCTAATTAATAGGCCAAAAATTTTGCTTTGATCATTGGTGAGGTTGAGTTTTTTTGCCTGTTAAATTTCTTGTATAATTTGCCTATTTGTGTCACTTTCCTTCTTTTGACTTAGGATTGTACTATTTTGTTTTACTTAACCGTATAAAACTTTATTTAATAGTAGTTACTGCATATTTAATATAAATAATTTCCTAGTGTGTTTCTTCTCTGACATTTTCTGGCATACTTTGCAGTGGGTCTACTATTGTCTGGAAGGCAAATTTAAGTAGCCCTTGATCAACTGGATTGAATTTGATCAGCTAAGTTGCTGCTAAAAAACTATGTACATTGTGCTTTGTTTGGGTAGCTTTTATGAGAAAATGGAAATTAACATGAAAACTAATTGCCTTTTTTCAATGTGCTCAGAACATTAACCAGGTGGTATTTGTTGGAAATTTCTTGAGAGTTAACACGATTGCCATGCGGCTTTTGGCGTATGCTTTGGATTATTGGTCCAAGGGGCAATTGAAAGCACTTTTTTCGGAACATGAGGTAAGCTGACTTGTTTCTTGTGCTATATATACACAAAGGGTGTGTACTTCACACTGCAGGGCAGTTTGAAGAAGTGAAGTGGGCTGTTTTATGTGTTTTTTTTTTTTTTTGTAATTGTATGTGTAGGATTTGATTGTAATGTTTTGAAAGCATTTACCTGATGGTGACACATGGTAGGTTTTTGGCTTATTTAATTCCAAGTTTAAGCAATTTTTTAAAAATTTATGTATTTTTGAAGAGGCTTTTTCCTTAGGGTGCATGTGTTTGCTGGAGAGAGACAAACACAGGAGAGGGAAGTAAGAAATCATCCCAGGGGGGCCGCGCCACAGTCCCTTCTCCATTCTCCTCCTGGGATCTTGGGCATGCATGCACACACACCTGGTGTGATTTTCAAGTCACCAGGTCTGAGACTCAAACTGCAGTAGGCCTTGTGGGATTCCAGCGATGTAAGTGCTACACCATCTGCTGGCCCCCTAACTTAAGCGTTATTTATTTATTTATTTTTTGGAGAGGTTTTTGCTATAGGGTGCGTGTGCTTGCCAGAAAGACAGCGAGAGAAAGAAAGTGAGAAATTACCCCCTGGGGGGATAGCCACGCTAAGATCCCTTCTCCATTCTCCTCTTGGGATCTTGGACACACACACACACACACACACACATATACACGCCCAGCGTGGGTTTTAACCTACAGGGTCTGGGACTTGAACCGCAGTCAACTACACAGGAGTCCAGCGATGTAGCCATTCTACCATCTGTTGGTCCCATAGCTTAAGTGGTTTTAAAGAAAAAAAATCTTGATTTACATTTCCTTATTATTTTTGCTGTGTTATTTTCTCAACTAGCATTTATATTTTTCCCCCTTGTACTGACTGTAAGTGCAGTTACTCTGGGTTCTGCTTTTTGGTCGGAGGAATGTGTGCGTACTCCCAGTGGCCTAGTCGTGCCACAGGATGACCATTTTCCTTCCATTTCTCCCTTCTGCAGGATCCTGATCATGTGTGTGGAGTGATTTTCAAGCCACTAGGGTAGCCCTGAGAGATCCCATTCCCTATGCACAGCATTTCGGCGCTGTGCTTTGGGGCTGGCCCCTTGTCTCATTTTTTTACTTTTAGTTTTTAATACGCTATATATGACATGTGCTTGCTGGAGGAGCAGGGGGGGCGTCTGGGGGGAGTGAGAAAGCATCTCCGGATTGGGGGATGGCCATGCCACAGTCCCTTCACCATTCTCTTAGGATTTTGGGCATGCACACGTACATTCCTGGAGTGTTTTTCAAGCTGCTAGGTCTGAGACTCGAACCAGTGTAGTCAGCTATGTAGATTCTAGCTGCCTTAACCACCATGCTGACCCAAGCCTACAGCACACATTCCAGGCCATCTCCTATCAAAGTACTAACCAGGCCTGACTCAAGATTGGGTGTGTTCAGGGTGGTATGGCCAGTAGATGCTCGTTTTCTTTTCTTTCTTTTTTTTTTAACTTTTATTATTATTTTTTAATTCACCAGAGTGAGAGAGAAAGAGAGAGAGAGAGAGAGAACGAGAGAGCGAGCGAGCGCATGCACACGCGCACGTGAGCGAGCAAGCAAGAAAGTGAGAAAGCATGCCACCAGGTCCAGGACTTGAACCTCACTCAGTTGACCATGTGAGAATCCAGCACCTGAACCACCATGCCACTGGGTCACTCGACACTCATTTTCTTTTATGCAAGTTTTTAATGCATTGATAGAACTCAAGTGCCACTTTAAGATGTATGTTCTCACAAGGAATAGATCAGTAAAAAACATTCCAGACAAGAACCATATTGTAAGGGCTTAACATGTAGATAAGCACGCAGTGTTAAAATAGAGACTTGCTTAACCTGATATCCTGACTTGGAAAGTGCCTGTTTTTCCTGTTGAGGAGGAGGGAAATGGAACCACAGAAGTGAAAGGAAGGGTTCTCTCTTCCCTCTCCTTGGTTGCTGGGCAGGTGAACTTTTTCAGGTATTGTTGGATTTTAGATCTAGTGATAGGGACATTTTTCAGAATTGTGTGTACATTTTTATTTTAAGAGTGTTTGTGGGACCAGCAGTTAGTGTAATGACTGTGTCGCTGGACTCCCATGTAGTCGACTGTGGTTTGAGTCCCGGATCTGGTGGCTTAAACTCACGCTGGGAGCGTATGCATGCGTGCCCAGGATCCTGAAAGGAGAATGGAGGAGAAGGGATTGTGGCGTGGCCATCCCCCTTGGGGGTGATTTCTCGCTTTCTGTCTCTCTGTCTCTCTCTCTGTCTGTCTGGCAAGTGCATGCGCCCTGTACCAAAAATCTCTCCCCCCCCCCAAAAAAAAGGGTTTGTATGAATTGACAAAAATCAAGGTAATATATGAAGCACTATAAATATAGATTACTTTTTCTTTTAAGGTTACTTTAAATTTTTCATCTTAAATTGTTTGAATTTCATAGTTAATATCCTAAATACACAAATTCTACATAGCAACAAGCTTTTTTTTTTTTAACTTTTAATGATATTAGTAAATCAATACTGAAATGTCATTAGGTTTCTTATTATCCATAATGTTTTTATATGCAGCTTGCTTTTTGTGATCTTTTATCTATTTTATTTTGCTGTATATTTAAGAATAAAAAAGAAACAATTTAGTATTATATCATATAGTAGCTGTTTTCCTGATTAATTTCTTTCTGTCTTTTGTTAAACCTTTTTCTAGGCAGAACATGGAGATTAGTTTCTTAGGTTAACTTTTTAAAAAAAGATATTTTTAAATCATAATTATAAGCCTTTTATGGAATTTTGATTTTACATCTTGTCATTCTTACTATCTGCTGATTTTATTTTTCCCTCTGGGTAAGGTCTGTTCCATTTGTCCATATTTTTCCATTTGTATTCAGACCTCTGACTCTGCATTTGTGGAACTTTGATTATTTTAAATGCCTTTTTTGCATCTTGAACTACTTTTCCTGCCCTCCCACTGAAGTCAGTGTAACTGTTGCTGTGAAAGCCTGTACAAATTTCTCTTTCATCCTTTCTTATTCTCATCTTAGCTTTTTTTTGTTGTTCTTTTTTTTGAGAGGTTTTTGCTATAGGGTTCATATGCTCACCAGAAAGACAGAGACAGAGAGACAGAAAGTGAGAAATCACTTCCCAGGTGGGATGGTCATGCTGCAATCCCTTCTCCATTCTCCTCTTGGGATCTGGGGCATGCACGCACACGTGCCTGGTGTGAGTTTAAGCTGCTAGGCCCAGGACTTGATCTGCAGTCGACTACATGGGAATCCAGCGAAGAGGTTTTTTTACTATAGCGTGCATGCGCTCGCCAGAAAGACAGAGACAGAAAGCGAGAAATTACCCCCCAGGGGGGATGGCCACGCCGCAATCCCTTCTCCTCTATTCTCCTCTCAGGATCTTGGGCATGCATGCACACGTGCCTGGCGTGAGTTTAAGCCACCGGATCCGGGACTTGAACCGCGGTCGACTACATGGGAGTCCAGTGACATAACCATTAGGCCAACTGCTGGTCCCTCACCTTAGCTCTTTGTGCCTGTAACAGTCTGTGTCTGTCCTTACTTGATGGTCGGTTTTGGGTCTTCAGTGGAACTCAATATAATGGTTAACTCTCTCTCTCTGTGTTTAAAGTAAAATAAAATATAGAAAGCCACAGAAAACAAAATATGTGGCTAACTACAAACAGGCCCCTGTGTCTGGCAGCCATGGGAGCCCCGGAGCATGCTGAGCCGGCCCAGTGCTCCCTTCTACAGCCTGGCCTCTGAATAGCACAGGTGGTTTGGGCTGCCTTTTTTTTTTTTTTTTAAATTATTTATTTAATTTTATTTATTCATTTATTTTAATTTGACCAGAGAGAAACAGAGAGAGAGAGAGAGAGAAAGTGAGAAAGTAAGCCACCAGGTCCGGGACGCAAACCATGGTCGACCATGTGGGAGTGTCTAGTGCCTTAGCCACTATGCCACCTGCTGGTCCCTGGGCTGCCTTTTTCTAAAATTGAGAAACAGTGACAAAGCAGTCTTTCTGTGTTTCATGTTTCTTGAAGTTCCCCCCCCCCTTTTTTTTTTTAAGAATTATTTAACTTTATTTATTTAACTTTGACCGGGGTGGGGGGGAGGGAGGGACAAAGTGAGAAAGCAAGTCACCATGTCTGGGATTTGAACCACAGTTGGCCATGTGGGAGTCTAGCGCCCTTAACCACTACGCTGCCACCTGCTGGCCCCAGTTTTTTAAAGAGAGGTTTTTGCTATGGGACATGTGCACCAGCTGGAGAGATGGAGAGACAGAGACAGAAAGGGACAATGCTCTTCTCCCCGCCTGGGGATGGCCATGCTGCAATCCTTTCTCCTTCATTCTCCTCTTGGGATTTCGAGCATGCATGTACACACACCTGGTGTCAGTTTCAAGCCGCCAGGTCCAGGACTTGAATTGTGGTCAACCATGTGGAGGTCAGCACCTTAACCACCATACCATCGGCTTGCCCTAAAGAAGTTTTTCTTAAAAAACTACTGGCAGGGCTGTCAGGTGGCGTGGTTAAGGTGCTGGACTCACACACGGCTGACTGCAGTTCGAGTTCTGGACCTGGCAGCTTTCTCTCTCTCTCTGGTCAAATTTAAAAAATAAAAATTATTACAGTAAATTATTTCTTAAAAAAAATTGATTGGCCCCTAGGTACTTATAATGTTTCACAGACTTTTAGTCCATTCTTTTCAGTCCACAAGCAAGATTTCAATGATTTCCTTCTCCAGTTATTTATTATGTTAAAGTACTTTAATACCTGATCTCATGCTTTGGAGCCCTTGACGGGTTCTGCAAGAGTCTTCCCAGTTCCCGCTGGCATTCTCTTTCTGTCAGTCTTGGTTTTGTCTCATTTTCTTTGGTATTTTGTCCCCTTTTTTTGTTGCATTTTGTTTTGGGGTCCTTGTTGGCTTTGACCGTCACCGCTTCTCTGGGTATAGTGCTGGCCTCTGCTGCTTCTCACCTCCTCATTCCCTAGTTCACATCCCAGGCATGGTCTCTTACTGGAAGTAACTAAGAAAAAATAAGTTTAAGAAAGAGTACCGGGACCAGCAGTTGGTGTAATGGCTATGTCGCAGGACTCCAGTGTAGTTGATCGCGATTCAAGTCCCGGACCTGGTGGCTTAAAATCATGCTAGGCGCGTGTATGTACGTGCCCAAGATCCCGAGAGGAGAAGGGATTGCGGCGTGACCATACCCCCATGGGGTGATTTTCACTTTCTGTCTTTCTGTCTCTCTCTGTCTTTCTGGCAAGTGCACTTGCCCTATAGCAAAAACCTCTCAAAAAAAAAAAAACAAAACAAAACGCGAGTACTCACCTTGCCCGTCTTCTAGTTGCCACCTGTTGTGCCTTTGTCCTACTATTGCCAGATGTCCCTCCCTTTGAACCCAACCCAAGAAGACTCAGAGCTCCTGTAGCCCCCACTGTGGGTGGCTTTGCTCTGTCACAGTGGCCTGACGTGCCTGGACTGTCTTGTTGGACATCAAAGCCCTTTCTCCAGTCAGGAGCTCCTAGGGTTTCCTGGTCCAAGGCTGGAAGTGTGTGCTCAGGAAATGAGTGTCAGGAGTTAAGGGTGGCATTAACTTTACCATTAGTAATAATATTTTATAGTAATTTAAATGTCTAAAAATTGCCTTTTTCCCCCCAGGGTTATTTTGGAGCTGTTGGAGCACTCCTTGAGCTGTTGAAGATCCCCTGACAGTACCTGGGGAGAGGTTTTCCTGAAACCTGCCACAACGAGATCTGTGGATTTTTTTTTTAAAAAGAGATTTAACTCAGTTTTATGATTGTGTATACTACCTGAATCAAAGCAAGAAAGGACAGTGTATTTTCTGAGTCATCAAGATAAAGCCTTCAAAATTCAGTTTAAACTAGCAACCAGAAAGGGAAGATACATTAAAAACAAAACAGGTGGACCACGTCCAGGCAGTGTGAAGCTTTGCTGTATTTAAGTTACTGTTCAGTACGAGACTGTTAAACTTGTGTATTTTTGAAATCTCAGCATCACTCGCTGGAGACACTTCAGTTCTGTGTTCAGCTGACTGTGCTTCTGTGTCTTGTTTGAACTTGCAGATGTAAGGCAAGTTCCTGTGCATTGTACTACCCTAATCACAACTTGTCAGTATGGTGCATTGCTCTGGTTTGTGTTTAGCCTTCATGTGACTATTGAAAAACATGTTTTATTTTTAAAGTTCTGCAAACTTAGTTGGACAGGTTAATTTTGTATCTAAAACTTGATAAGCAGTTTTTGGACGGGCAGTTCGGTTTGTTTCACACTAAAATACTGGGAAGGTCTATTTGGAAAGGCAGGACTTTTGGACTAAATTTCCTTGGGGTAGTGTGGGGATTACTGATGAAAATGGGTTAAGTCTATAGAAAAAGCACAATCTCAAAGACTAACTCAGGCATAAAGGAGCTAGAAGTGACCTTTCCCCAGGGACTGGGGGGAATCTGGTTTTTCTTTCAGGATGAGCAGAAAAGAAGGAATTGTGTCCATTGGTGAACTTGTGGGTGGGGCTGGGGTCAAATTGCTTGAGGAGAGTGACAGGCTGGGATGGAGTCTTGGGAGGGGTTGAACCTTTCTGCCGTGCAGCATGATTGAGAAAGCCTTTTCCCCTTGGAGATGGGACATATAAAGTGCCTGCATCACTGCTGAAGGCAAGGAAGGGTGTGGCCTTGGAGCTGGAAGGAACAAACCCTTTGGCCTCTGTCCATATGCTGCTTTGCAGAGGGGCTGGGTGAGGCTTCTGGGTGGTCATGGGCAGGCACCAGCCAGCCACGTGGGGGGCAGCAGAGGCGCAGGCCCGCTTTAGTTGGGAGGAGTAAGTAGCAAAATCCCCTCCTCCAGCTGCTCCCTTATCCAGCTCTCTCCCCTCTGAGAACCCCACTGTGTGGTCTCCATCCCCCAACCCTCCAACACAGTTTGCTGGAGTCTGCTGCCCCTGTCCGTGCTTGCAGCCTTCAAGAGGTTGTGACCAATGTTTCTGTGCATCGTCTTGTCCAGCCCAGTTTTAAAAGCAAACCCAGAGGAGCAAACCTGCCCAAGGTCACAGCTGGAAATGGGCAGAACTGGACTCAAACCTAGGTCTGGCCTCTGAGCCTGAGTTGGGACCCAGACATGGTCAAACCGCCACCCACCCTTATGCCTTCCTCCTCCCTGACCCACTATTCCCTCTCTCGAGAAACCTTCTTGTTTCCTACTTTGTGTTCAGCCCACCCTGTACCTCCCAGGGCAGGGCAGGGCAGGGCAGGGGGCAACAGGATGTCTTGGGTCCCCAGTAAGTCTGAGGGCTGTCTCAGGGCCTCTTCTCAGTTCTAGTAGGGTAGACCCCTCTCGCTTCTGCCTTCCTGGCCACTTGAGTAACAGCTCATCCTCTGACAGGTTAGCTATCACCAGTCCTTGAGTTTCTCCCAGGCAGGCGTCAACTTGCACCTCACCCAGCCCTGGCCTCAGGTCCAGCCCCTGCCCCAACAGTGCCTTCTCTCTCCACTTGTGGGTCTCCAAGGCCATCTCTGCAAAAATGTCCCCATTCTCCCACCTGTGAGGTGCCTGCAAATACAAGCTACAGTAGCCATTGAACCTGCCCTGTCCACTCAGCAGTCTGCCTTCCCCAGGTCACTTCATGTCCTCCGCCACTAGAAATCATGGTCCAGTTGAAGAAGGAAGGTGGCCTGAGCTGAGGTGGGGTGGTGGTAGATGCTAAGAGTGGACACAGGATGCTAGAGGCCAAGTGGGGGATGCGATGACCGGCTGAAGGGGTTGATGAAAGGTACTGTGAGGCTGCCCAGGCTCAGTTTTGGACCGCCCAAGTTTGATATATAATAGACAGCTGGATATTTGGGTGGAAGATACAGAGCTAAAGATGGTGTGCAGAGGCAGGTAGAAGTGAGAGGGGTTAGTGAATTCCAAGGTAATGTGAAGAAAAATGCCAATGAAGAGATGAGTGGTGAGGGAAAAGGGGCTACGAAGAACACAAGGCTGGTCAGAGGCTGACCAGAGGTCTGGAGCTCAGGAGGCGGACCGGCTGACCGAAGAGGTCTCCGGGCTCCAGGATTAAGGTTGCCCACGTGCAGCTGCAGGCTCACAGCTTGCCTTGTGGGCAGCCGTTTCCTGAAGTTGGGGCCAGAAGCTGAACTGCAGAGTCTTAGCAGGGGTGGTGAGAAGGCAGCACCCACAGCCATGGGAGTGCTTTGAACCAATTTTTTTCTCCTGACAGAATAATTTCCAGACCAGTGATACAGCTAGAGGGTTGGGTTGGGGCAAATCCCCAGGATCCTGTGGACAATAGGGACCAAATGCATTTCCACCACTTCAAGTTGCCTGAGTGCTATGATCCCACCATAGGCTGCTTACCTGTGGTGTGTCTGCAGTTCTGGGAGGAGGTGGGTCTTGGCTTACACAGGATCTGCATGCAAGGCCTCCCTTGCTGAAGTCTGGCACTCCTGACCTCTTCGCTCCTGTGCCCCAGGACACAGGAGGGGTCAGGCAAGAGGCTCCTGTTGACAGTTACCAGCCTTGTCTGATCAGAACCATTCGTCCTGAGTTCCCAAGTCTTGCTAAAGTGGTGTGTGGGGGACTACAGATTCTCCGAGCTGAAAGGTACATGCTCAACACAGGATTTTCAAAATCTGCTTTTTATTTACATGTGTTTGAGTCAATTACATGCATGTTTTACTTAAACAAGAGTGATTAGCAAAAAATGCATTAAAATTTTAAAATAGCAATTAAATATACAAAAATATAGCTTACAAAAAACTGCGAATGTTTAAAAATATTCTGCTGCAGAATTCTTAGTGTACAAACACGTCTATGAAACCTGAGGCTCAGCATTTCATAAACCTTTTTTTGAGGGAGTCACACAATAGCTAATGAATAAACCCCAAAGGGTTAAACTACAGGACTAAAGTGTCCTCTCCCCCTTCCTGGCAATGACCTGTCAAGAGACCCAAAGAACACTAGGAAGACCTGGGTGCCACCAGGAGGGCCTTCCTAACACTGGCCACACCCACCCCGTGCTCCAGGTGGGGCCTGGGAGGAGCCTCGCGGGCTGGCATAGGAAGCTGAGAAGAGCTCTGTCAAGCCCAGACTCACCCTCAGACACTGGTGGGCTGTATTCTAGGTGTTACCCCTGGGGCAGGGAGAGTGTCCCTCGTCCTACAGACAAAGTGAGGACTGGGTTGGTGAGCTAAAGTGTTGATGGAAGTGGAATAAAACAATTTGCATCTTTAAACAATATGCTCTCTAAAGCTGAATTTGTAAAATAAAACAAACCCCTTTTCTCCTGATATTTCCACTCAAGTGGAAGCACACTTCATGGCGCGTGGGGTCTTTGGACGTCTTACCAGAGACCCATGACCCCAGCATTTTCTAGCTGTCTTTTGCAAATTTAGGTAGAATTCAAACTGAGTTTAGACACATCCATCTTAAATTTCTGAAAGACACCCAGGGCCAGAGAGTCCACAAGTGTTAGAGGGCAGGTTTACACAGCTACTGAAGTTTCAGATGACAGACCTAGTTGCACCCGTAACCCAGGGAAAGACCTGGGTTGCTGCTGGGTGGCAGGTTGCCAGGGAGGTGAGTGAGGACCGAGGCACTGGGGAGCTGCTGGAGAGGAGGCACTGCAGTGCCCTCCTCAGAGGGCTGCTGGAGGAAACAGCTTTTAATTGATCTCCTGTGGGGCAAAGATACTTAGAGATTTTAAAGGTTTGTTTTAAAGCTTACTGGTGGGCTAATTTCTGTCATCAAATGGAAACAAAGTTGGGTAAAAGGTCACACTGTAGAAAGCGGTTCTTTTTAAAGTGTGTGCAGGGAAAGGGAGCCAATTGATGAACCCATGTAGACATCCAGGCATACCTAAAAGTGTTGCAGTCTGCCCCACAGAGTAGAAAAGCTGAAAACTCCAGCTTCAAAAATGAGCTTGCCTGGAAAACTTAAGAGACTGCCACAGGATGAGGTGAGTGAGGGCAGTGGGTGCAGCTTGTCCAGCCTCCGGTGAGGCTGCTCCCAGCAGCAGAGCCTGCCCCCAGTGTCCTATCACAGATGAGGAAGCCGGTGGGAAACCCTGGTGCTCTTCATTAGCTGGACACAGCCGGGGTGAGGGAGGGATTTCTCGTTTATATAAACTAGAATTCCAGGATGTTGTAATCAAGTAAAACTGCCTCATTCAAAAGGAATGTGATTATAACTAACTATGGGCTCACCTTTTCTCAGAACTGGCTTTTCCCATGTGCATAAAAATGTTCCTTGAATATACTTGTCTCATACCACGTGAGTTCAAAAGGAGAAAGATACGTGTGTACGTGCACGCATAAAGATCTCCGGAAGAAAAACAAGAACAAACTAATAGTGGGTGCTCATGAAGAGAGGAGCAGGTCTCGGGCTTGCTGGGGGTCAGGAATTCGAGGAAGACTTTACTGTTTATTTGGGGGTTAAGAAAGGAGACCCAGCTGCGGCTCCTAACCCACCTTGAACAGGCCATGCACAGTGTGGTCTGTAAGAGGCTGAGGCAGGAGGATGGTGATGTGGGGCCCTGCTGAGAGTACTCTCTCCTCCCCTATGCCTCATTTACAAAAAATTTAAAGGAATACTCAGGACTGAGCAACCAAGTTGGGTGCAGTGTGGGCAGCCAGGTGGAGGTGACCAAGAGCAGGAGAGGAAAGAAAAGGGGTGCACAGACAGGTTCTAGTTCTACTGTGACAACTGAGGAGCCTGTGTGACCCATCCAGATGACTTTTTAAAAGGTTTTTGCCATAGTGCACATGTGCTCACCATAGAGAAACGGGGGAAGTGAGAAATCACCCCCCAGCAGGAA